ATTAAAATTAGTACTTCCAACCCAGTTTCTGGTGAATTATCCACTTTTTTTTATATTGTTATCAAGGAGCTCCATGACTGATAATTTAACCAATAAACCATTTGCTATTATTAAAAAGAAAAAAAAAAGCAACTAGGTCACCTTTTTCCCTTTCAAATTTACAAAAGATTATATATAATGCCATAAAAACTTGATTGTTGTTTTCTTTATAAATTTTAAAATGTATCATTTAGAGTTAAAGCACAAACAATTATTTCTATTTCTCAAACACAGAAAACAGTTTTGCTGGGCGTGGTAGGCCATGACTAGAGGCCAGAACTGCCATGAATGTGAAAGCAGCTTGGGTCATGAGGTCCAGGTCAGTCTAAGCTACAGTGACCACACCAACGAGGAAGAAAGAGGGCTTGAGAGCCAGTTTGGGAGCAGCTCAGAGCACTGGCTCTTCCTCAGAGCATCTGAATTTAATTCCCAGCACACTTATGATGATTCACAAGTGTTTGTAATTCCGGTTTCAGATGACTCAATGCCCTCTTCTGTCCTCCAGGCACACACATGGATGTGGTTTACAGACATGTAGGCAAAACATCTACACATATAAACAAAAAAAAATTCTTGAAGTGAGGACAAGAAAAGGAAGGAGGGAGAGGGAAAGACAAAAGATTTTTTACATTTATATGTAAACAAAAAAAATTTTTGAAGTGAGGACAAGAAAAGGAAGGAGGGAGAGGGAAAGACAAAAGATTGAAGTGTGGGGTATAACAGGTTCCTATTATGTAATCCTAGAACTCAGTCTACTCTCAAGCTGCCAACCGTGTCTCAATCTCTCTAGTGATGGGGGAAAGCTATTAATACCATTGAATAGTTTTTATTATCACTCAAAGCCTAATATTAACTATCTCAAGATCAAAGGGCCAATAAACTTAATAAACTTTTAAAGTTTTCCCCATTCATTATGAGTACAACAGTATCCTAGTACCTAGAAGTTGCAGAGCCTATTGCAAGTACTCAATAAATATGAGATGACTTGAGGAAACTAATTTTGAAACAGCTATATGGCAGGTAATGTTCTACATAGAGGCTAAGTTCATTCTTTTTTTTGTTTTGTTTTGTTTTTTCGAGACAGGATTTCTCTGTGTAGCTTTGGAGCCTATCCTGACACTCGCTCTGGAGACCAGGCTGGCCTCGAACTCACAGCAACCCCCCTGCCTCTGCCTCCGAGTGCTGGGATTAAAGGCATGCGCCACCAACACCCAGCAAGTTCATTCTTAATTACACTGGCTTTTTAATAATAGTTGGGCTAACTAGCAGAAAAGAAAACTTACATCTAAAAATATCTATATAAATTACAATTTAAAATATATATATACATATATATATATATTTCCCCAAGAGATTCTAAAGATGTAGAGTTCTCAAAAGATTCTTAAAATCAAATTCTTGTCTTTCAGAAGTTATGTTAATAAAAACAACTGTCATTAGTTGTTACTCATGCCCTCCTATTGAGAAAACTCATCATGGTCCCACTTTTTAAAAATTGAGGCATAATTTAGAGTAAAACAAACATACTAAGCACTCAGTTCCATCTTGTGGCAAATAACTGTACATGTGCAGCTACCAGTAAATTTTTCTGTAAATATCTGTTTAACTGAGAAAGTCTTTTCCTGAATCTGTCTAGAATATCCCTCCACTAATGAGTTGTGTAATCAAATACTCTTTTACTCAACATAAAGTTGTTGAGATTGGCTTGACGGTGGTGGCTCATGTCTTTAATCCCAGTACTCGGGAGGCAGAGAAGGGTGGTTCTCTGTGAGTTTGAGGCCAGCCTGGTCTACAGAGCGAGTGCCAAGATTGCACAGTAAAACCCTGTCTTAAAAAACAAAACAAAAAACCAACTAACCAACAAACAAAACAGTTGCTGAGATTCAGCTAGTGGATCAAAAACTCATTACTTTTTATTGCCAACCAGTGCACTACTTTATGAATATCACAATTCACTCTCTTGTTGGCAAATATTTGGCTTGCTTCCAGTTTGGAAGAAAGTTACAAACAAAGGTGACAATACATAAACAAGACCTTATGTGGATATGTTCAATCTTATTCTGCTTCTAAATTACAGGTTCAAAACTTGTCCCTTGGACAAATAATAGGAATGAACTTAATCCAGGCTGGTATGCTTGTGTTACTCTGAAAAACACATTTTGTTTTGTTTTTTCAAGCCAGTGTTTCTCTGTGTACCCTGGGCTACCCTAGAACTCTCTGTGTGTAGACCAGGCTGACCCTGAAATCAGAGATCCACCTGCCTCTGCTCACCACACCCCACCCTACCCCCCAATTAATCCTTTAATTGAGCCTTTAATCCCACTCACTCACTCACACCACCACCTCCTCACTTATTTGTTGGTTTTTAAGCATTTTGGTTAAGTTTAGAAGACGTGAACTAATTCATGTGGGCAAGAATATCATGTCTAACTTATGAATCTAGAAATAAACTGTTTTCTGACTTTTGAATGGGAACATTTTTTCTTCCTTCAGTTTTAGTTTTAAAGCTTACAAGATGATAGAAAAAGCTTTTTAAGGTCAATATAGTATGCTTCCAAAGAGCAGAATTACACTAACTTACCTTTAAGGCCTTATTTTTGAGAATTTAACAGAAAGAAAGATGGTTTTTGACAGATTAAAATTGTCGGTACTTAAATCCTGTGTGGCAATTTAGAATTTCCGTGTGTTTTCTAAAAATGCAGATTCATCATGAGAGAACTGTGTCGTGGAGAGCCAACTAAATCTAAGTAGGGAAAGAAATAATTCCAACTACAACCTTTCTAAGTTTCACAGAAGAAAATGATACTTTTGGTCTCCTAAACATGTAAATGAACTTCTTAAAAGCTGTCTTCTAAGTTTTTATTTCAATGAAAATCTATATTATAGATCCTACAAGTAGCTCACTCAAGAAAATGAAATGTCATTAGCTATTACAATCTACTTTGAAAAGGGGAGACTGAGTGAAAAGTTGTTTGAAGGTTTTTACCGACACTCCAGAACAGACTCTATCACTGTTATTGTCATATTCAAAACAGGATGCTTTCATGAAGCTGTTATTACAAGTAAGGAAATGCTTAGCAAGTTACCAATACAGATTATGATAACTAGACATGTAGACACTAATATTGGGGCTACACTTAACCAGGCCTGAAAACAAAACACACTGGAATTGTCATTATTTTTGAGAAACGGTCCTAACATATTCTTTTTTTAATTTTTTGGTTTTTCAAGACAGGGTTTCTGTGGCTTTCGAGGCTGTCCTGGAACTAGCTCTTGTAGACCAGGCTGGTCTCGAACTCACAGAGATCTGCCTGCCTCTGCCTCCCGGAGTGCTGGGACTAAAGGCGTGCACCACCATAGCCTGGCCAACACTATATATTTTAAGCTGAAAGTCATTACACACTATTAATTTAGGCGGGGAAAAGTCATGGTTGAAGTTCCTTAATGTCTTTAATAAAAACTAAATATTTATTGACAGGAGAGACCCATAAGAAATCATGCTTATAGTCTTCTAGCTACTAAACTCGGTGTCATAACTATGTTTCAAGCACATTTCAAAAAAATTGAGCCAGGCGTTGGTGGCGCACGCCTTTAATCCCAGCATTAGGGAGGCAGAGGCAGGTGCATCTCTGTGAGTTCTAGGCCAGCCTGGTCTACAGAGCAAGTACCAAGATAGGTTCCAAAGCTACACAGAGAAACCCTGTCTCAAAAAAACAAACAAAAAATAAATAAATAAATAAATAAACCTAGTATGTCATAACCAACACATATAATGCAAGTCGCTCTACACTGGGGTGATAGAAAACTTTCATTTTTGACTGTGAAAAACCTAATTAATGGGGCTGGAAAGATGGCTCAGCGGTTAAAAGCACTTCCAAAGGTCCTGAGTTCAATTCCCAGCAACCACATGGTGGCTCACAACTTTCAGTAATGAGATTTGCTGAACACTGTACACATAATAAATAAATCTTTAAAAAAACTAATAAAAAAACTAATGTGTATTATTAGAATAAACTGGCAAAGCAGAACAATGCCACAAAATGACTACGTAGCTTTGGCTTTGGCTTTGCATTGCCAACTTAGTGAATACTTTTAAGGGTATATAATTCAAAGGGGAAAACCAACTGTCTAAGTATACTTAACATTAGACTACAACTAATTTTTAAAATAAAGAATTCTAAATTTCAAGCTACAAAGGATGTGATGGCAAAGTACAAGATTAGTCATTGTTACAACTGCAGGAGGATTACATTTTAAAATAGTGTTTAAGTAAAGAAATGACAAACGAGGAAGAGTCGATTCTTTACATGCTACATTTAAAAAAAATAAAGTCTCTTAAAACAAGCAGTCTGGATGTTTATAAAGAACTGGAGATTTTGGGCTGTTTTTCTTCTTTTGTTATTTTTATGTTACTTTGGGTATCTACATGTTTTAGTGTTGATTAGTCAGCTACCATGCTTTCTAATCGACTTCATATACTCTACTGGGTCTCTTAACGTCTAAGTGTTAAAAACTCCACCTATTCGTCAGCAGAGCAGCTGCCACTGACAATAAAAATCTGTTTATCCATCTAAATCTATGACAAGTTTTTTTTTTTTTTCTATTGTCACCCCTCATCCCTGAGAGGGACTAGCATCAAATGCCTACCTGTTGGCGGGAAGTACACCCGTCTCTAAATATGCCTCACCAATTTGGTATTTATTCCATCTTCTGATTCTCGGACTCAAGTTTATTTTTCTTCATCAGTCTTCCAACTGCTGTATTTTAAGTCAGCCATCTCTAGAAGGCTGCGGGATAATAAAGCCTCAGAAATGTCTTAATTCATGTTTGCACTCCCAGATACTCGGGAGCTCCCGATGTTGTCTGTCACCCTCCTCCTCGGCCTGGAGACCCGTGCAGAAAGACCTGCTTCACACTGCAACGCTCCAAACCCAACACAACCTTTCGGGTACCGAAAGTACCTGCGGGCTTTGGGTCAAGGCTCGAGTGCGCTGAGTCGGGGGCCCTTTCCACACAGGTGGGGCCCGAATCCGCTACACTGCAAGTTCGGAAAGCACCCCAGCCTCGGACTGCTTTTTGGCTCCCTTTTCTCCACCTCAACCTGCTGCAGGGACTGCAGTTACGGAGGTGACCTCAGGCCTCCCCGCACCGCGGGGAACCGGTCACTTGTGATTTCGCGCGCGAGAGAAAGCGTCACCGCAC